TCACCTTTCTCGGATCTCTTCCACCTCCCGTTTCTCTTGCAAACCGATCTCGAGCACATCTACTGCCACGTCCACTATATCGCCAACTCACCAACTCTGTTCGCTACTCGCGCTCGCTTGCGCGCGAGCGCGCCCGCGCACTCTCGTACGAGTGATGTACAAGGTCACGAAATCAGATTACGCACAGAGACGAGACCCCCCCTTTATCCCCGTCGCATTTGTTACTTTACGAACGGCAACGGTTCGCGCCGCGAGTGTCAGAGCATCCGGTTGCCAGTTCGATCATTTCAATAGCGGGCGAAAGAAGATAGTAGGCGGCGGTGACGGCGGCGTTCCGGGCTGCGTGTACCGTTCCGGAACGTGCGCTCGAAATGTCATTGCCTTTTCCAAAGCTGAGCGCGACCACATGATTTCAAAGCGCAAAGCGAGGATGGCATAATTCTCTTGTATCGCGCCTCCGTCGCTCTTCTTACGCGATTTACTCACACTGTCGGTCCCTGGGACTCTCACCGATTGCCCCACGTTGTCGCACGATCTCGCTCTACAAGGATGATTCACGTCGTAAGGCGTAAAGATGCGAAAAGAATGAGAAGTAGCGATGAGAGTGTAAAAAAAAGAGAAGGCAAAGGTGGATGAGGGAAGGAATAAAATAAAACAAAATAGAGCACTTAAGGAGTCGAAAAAAAAGCGGAACTCTTCAATGAATACTACAGCAATATATGCAAAAAAAATGGGAAAAGAAACACAAGCGAATAATGAATAGTTGGAACGAGAGAAAGTGAGTAAACGAATCACGCTCTCCCTCGCGACAATACTGCTTTTCCGAGCGGGAAACGGCGTGACGGACTTCTGATCTCGTCGCTTGGTTGACGTACGGTGCAGAAAATCACGCAAGAACAGCGCGGTGGTAGCTTCGCGCCGCTATCTCTGCTGCTGCTCTCTGGTCGCCGTCGCTACCCCTCCGAGACCATGACTCGGCGCGCGCGCATTACCCCTTACTACGTCTATGATCAGTTCGTGATTTTGATAGTACGTTATTTTGAGAGGTGAGGAAGGAAGTGAGTCATCTCTCTCTCTCGCTCTTCCCACGGAGGGACAGGGGCCAACGAAGGTGGAGCGCTCCATAGCGGCGGCGACCGCGACATCAGCTTCGTCGAAGCTCGTTGGGCTCGTCCTTGGCTCGACCAGGTGGATCGCTTGCTTCGCAGAGCATGGAATTTTGCGCGGGGTGGTAATGGAGCGAGGGAGTGGGGAGTACGTCGCCAGAAAGACGAGTAATAGTAGTAGTGATGGTGGTGTTGGCAGCGGTGGTGGATGGGAAGCGCGCGAGGATGGACGGAGGATAGGGGATAAAAGCAGCGGAAGGTGGAGAAGGCACGGTGCCGTTCCCCGGAGGATGAGGTTAGGGAGTGGGGAGACGCGGTCTCGACCTTACGCCACGTTATGGGGGGTGTAACGCAGCGCAAGTCCAGTATCATTGATTTAACATATATCTATATCTTACATAAAGACAGCAAGAGCTATGATGAGAATAGGGTAATAGTAAAGTCGCATTACATTTGTCCAAGCACAGAACTGCGTTATGCGCGCGAAGAAAAAATCTTCCTCCCCATTAAAGAGACCATATAAAATTATTGACTGTATAGAATTATTGAAGATTATGTAATTGTTGTGAAGATTGTTTATGTGACGATTTCTAAAGAATATATATTAAAAATGATTTCTGCGAAATAAATTACAATTAGTATATATGGCACGTTTCACGTCAACCGGATCACCTACATGCTCAAAAATCAGCACAACAAAAATGAACATTCAAGATCTTAAATTATTCGTATATGTACTTTCAAAAGAAACGTGACCTTTTGAAAAATCCAATATGGCGAATCCAATATGGCGCCGAGAAGCGATAAACATGGTGCAGTCACAATAGAAGGAATAAGGAATAATGATTCCAACCTATCAGAAACCGTGTTTTCCGATGTATTCGATTTCTGATAGGTTGAAATTTTTATTCCTTATTCCTTCTATTATATTGTGTGACTGCATCTGATTCAACTTTCTTGATTAAACCACTGTATTGATCTTAATTGGCTTGAAATCTATTAAAATTCTAGAATTGGAAAGAGATGAGAAATACGTTGAACCTCGGTTAAGAGTTAACTGTGAGTTGTGAAACTGGGCCTTAGGTACAATCATTCCATCTTTGTTTTTTACTGATTATTGAATAAGGACAGAATGACTCTTGTGTCAATTTTTCTTGCTGGAAAGCTTCCCTCGATTCTGTATCCAAAGGTGCGTTTACTTTGACACTTAGGCCCAGTTTCACAACTCACAGTTAACTCTTAACCGAGGTTCAACGTATTTCTCATCTCTTTCCAATTCTAGAATTATAATTAAGTCGCTTTTTCATATTACATAGTTCCTACAGATTATCAATGCATCAAGCCGTAATGCGTTCCTTCGTCCAACATAGATCTCCATAAAATTGACAGATTAACTAAATAATAAATTAATTACATACATAAGTAAAGTATAAGTTATATTTGAACAAACTTACATGTTAAGCTATGTTACGACATGTGGATCTCGTGTAAGGATATGATAAATAATCGATGTTTTTCGTGCGAAATAATTGTTGTGGAGAGAGATAAAATTTCACATTATAATATATCTGAGTACGCAGAATCTAACAGATCAGTATCATTTTTTAAACTTAAACTATTTTTTGCTGTTTTATGTAGATCATTTCGGATATAAGCCGTCTTTGTAAAATACTCTTTTTATTCAAAATCTTTATCCCCTCCCAATCAAATTCGTGCATTGAATTCAATCTATGCTCTGTTATAACCGAATGTTGTTGGGTGTTCCAATTTATCTGATTCTTATGTTATATGTTTATCTTTTATTCGTGTTTATTTTAACATTCTACTCGTTTGGCCTTGTATGACGCATCACAATCTTTATATTCAATTTAGTTGACTACATGCTACTCGTATGTGACCATTTAGGTAGTTTATCTTTTATTATGGCTTGACGCATTCATAATCTGTAGGAACTATGTAATATGAAAAAGCGACTTAATTGTAACTCTAGTTTAATTCTTAATTCTTGACATTCGCAATGAAAGCATTAATTTGAATAGCATTAATTATAATAATTGAAAATGATCCTAAACAAAGGATCGAAACGTTTGCGTAATTAATCTTTTATATATAATTGAATAAATACACACCAACAGCATATATCGGCTCTTATTGGCATGATTACTTGTGATTATTCATTATCTCTTTTCAATTCTGGAAAGAGACAATGAATAAGTTGAAACTCGGTTAAGAGTTAACCGTAAGTTGTGGAACTGGGCCTTAAATAAGCCTTATGTAACCGTCGGTTAATTTAGCCGAGATTGGTGAAAGAGACTCTAAAAAATGAAAGTCAAATGTTTTTTACACGAAAATGATTTTCAATAAAAAAAAATCCACATTTATGAATTCAATAATTATAAAATTGAAAAATTCTCTAATACAAAGATGTGCATGTACCTTTTTGCGAAATTAGTTAACCTTTTTGCAAAAAGGCTAGCCTTTATGCAAAACTGTGGCTAGTATGATTTAGCCTTTTTCTAATTTCACCAAAAGGTTGCGTCATGTGCACCTAGCTGTATATTTTATAAATCTCTATATTATTGAATTCTAAATTTCATAAAAAATTACAAGATTGCAAACTAAAGAAACATGCAGAAAAATTTTTAAGTAGTGAATCGTTCAAAAAAAATTAGATGTAAAAGACAGAATTTGTATATTTATTTATATTTGAATTCATTTAATTTTTCATTTATAACACACAGAAATCATATGTAAATATCTTATTTATTTATTTCAACTTTAAAAGAGTGAAAACTTAATTTTATTTTTACAAATATTTCTTACACATACGTATCTTATTCTTTTTTATGTTTGCAGCTATATACTGATTTTTTTTTCCCTTGATAAAGGTTTGTTCTTTCCAGCACTATCTGAGTTGGTGCACATGGCGCAATAAGTGAAGTGAAACAAATACATGTTTCGCTTCAACTTATTGCACCTTATACACCAGTTCAAATATTGCAGAAATAAAGAACCTTATGTTTTAAGATTGCCTGAGTAATTACCACAGCCATATTGAATCATGATGTGAGAAGCGAGAAATGACACGTTAATTTTTGTTACTGATGTCAAAATTCAATATGGCTATGGTGACTACGCAGGAGCCTTAATAATGAAAAAATCTATTATGCACGTTACATTAATAAGTTTTCACAAGATACATTTTTTCATGTCCAACTTAGCGGCGTAATATAGAATACAAGTTCATTATGTGCAATAATTTATACTCGCGCTAATTATACTCGTTACTTTTATTTAAATTTCTCGTTAATATGCAAAAAGAAATGTTCGAAAAGACGAAAAAATCGATGTGGAAATAGATTAGTATATACATTATATATATTATGAGCGCACATGTAATACATAAAAGTTACTTTTCATATACCTGTATAACTGTGCATCTTAGAAAATATTTGACTTATCTGTTATTTCAAACGCAACAATATAAATTATACAAGGAAGAACCACAATATGATAGAAATATTTCTCTGCAAAATACAGAATGTTTCCACTCAACCGCGATCGATTATACTTGATTACGTATTACATATCTTTATACTGTTAATTATTCTTAAATCACGAGACAATTTTGAATCGATAAAAAATGTAAGAAAGACTTAAGTAGTATCACATATTGATGTATATTTTTGCTAAGTATTTATAATTCCATCTTTATCTACTGTATGAATCACGCAATTTATTAGTACACCGCTATCTGCTGTTTGTATATACTGTATCAGGATTACTAAAAGGTTTTTCAAAAAATTTTATGCTTACTTTCCGTGTGAAATTATAGCTTGCAGATGTGTGTAGAAAAAAATAGGTCCGTTAATAAAAGAATTTTACACAACAATATGACCGATAAATTAACTTATATATTATTTCGCATTATGGCATCACTTCTGTTACACGCATATTAACGATGGGTCGCAATTCCTGTTGTGCATAATCTTCCGGTAATGGTAACTGAGATATCAGACGGACCAATAACTTCGTGAGAGATCTCTGTTCATTTTTCTGCAGCAATAGCATATTTCTAGCTAAATGTAGAGTCCTTTTTGCAATTTCAGCTTGACATAATCTAGAAATATGGAAAAAATGCCTTAGCACACAGTATAAAGAAGTAACAGCTTGCAATAATATATATTTGTCATACTTATGTTTAGCAGTTAAACACGGGAATTGATCAATTTTATGACATAAGTTCGTTAATCGAGGTTTCAGCGTTTCCAATTGATAAGTTAGTCCACAGTAGTCAGGAGCGGACTTTAAGAGGCTCTGAATCTCGCTAGTTATTTCCATATATTCCCACAAGAGCTGTCCTTGATATGACCATCCGCTAATCGTGCCGCTACATTCAATTGGTACTAATGAACTTAATAATGATTTCAAATATTCGTAGTTTTCTACAACATAAAATATTAAATAAAATTATTTATAACATACTGTAGAGTGTTTATAAAGTCCTGAGACGGTAAGAAATCTCGAAAATAAAAATTTTTTTGAAAGAAAAATATTAAATAGAAAAGTTGCTGAAAATCAAGTAATGCGTTAGATGGGTACTGCCATTTGATCTTGAACAAAATTTTCAAGGAGATCGTTTCGAATATTTTAAATGAAACCTTCTTCTTTTTATTACATATTTATAGCAATTGTCGAGCCATTTTTTTCGAAATACTGGTCATAAATTGATCATAATTATTGGGTCAATGCATAACATCTTGTAAAAAAAAAATAAATATCATTTATTCACAAATTTACTTGATTCAAGAATTATTATATAAATAATTATTTTGATATCGTTTTGAATTTAATTATAATTAATGTAAATCGACATAATTGTCGAAACGATAAAAATTCATGTTGGACGATACAAGCTCTCAATATTCACAAAAATTGAAACTTTGAAAACTTAAGTTCTTCCAAAACTAGTTAGAAAAATGTTTATGATTAGTATTTTGATTGTTACGAGAATATGCAATAAAAAATAAGAAGGTGCCATTTTAACTCTAAAGGTAACCTCTAGCAGAATTTGAAGACTTAGGTCAAATTGTTGTATTCATCTAATGCATGACTTAATACCCAGCTCGACATCCAGCAATTTTTTAAATACTTTTAAAATTTTATTTTAAAATATCTTGCTGTCCCAAGACTCCCGAAGCTTTTTAACAATTTTGTCCAAAAAGAAGAAAGAATTAAGAAACCGATACCATTTATTATAGCATCGGCTGCCAAATGCTCTAGAATAATTTCATGGGCTTGGGTCCATTGTTCCGCCTGGATGTAATACCAAGCTGCTTCGCCATATCTGCAAAAGTGTCAATTTTCCTTAAATATGTCCAGAGTTTTATTCTAATTAACAAATGTAACAATCTTTTTAAATTCTTTTTAAATTTAAGTATATGAATGTATCTGAATATATTGTCAAATACCTCTTATTGATGCTACTTTTAATAGCTTTGGCTTGATGAATCCAAACCAATGATATACCAAGCTCTTCCTTCAAGAATTGCTCACGCTTCACGTATTCCGGAGTGTCGTCTATTTCTATGTGACGTAACAGCAAGTCCTGTACAGCAATTCGTCGCCTAGACGAATCTCGTAGGTGCAATACTACGAATATTGCCCAATGCCAAAGTCCATGTGCCTCCAATTGTGTCGCAAAGTTTGTATGTGTTAATGCGGCAACATGATCAGAGAGATGCGTGTAGCCCAAAGCTACGAGTGTTTGTTGCATCAACCAACTATCAGGATAATATATTATAAAGTATAATATACAGAGAAAAAAATGGAACCGATTTCGAAAAATATCTCGAAAACAAGGCGTTGGAGAAAAAAATATTTCATATAAAAGTTTCATATAAAATGAGGTTTTAACAAATGTATTAAACGGTGATACTTATTTGACCTTGAATGTAAGTACAAAAGAGCTCTGAAATTTTAATAAATAAGTATCGCCGTTTGATGTATTTGTTGAAACCTTATTACTTTTATAATATGAAACATTTTTTTTCTCTAATACCTCTTTTTTCGAAATATTTTACCAGTTCCATATTTTTTCTCACTCTGTGTAAAAAAATTGTGTAATCATACTAAAAATGATTATTTATAAAGATTGAGACACGTTCTGTTAATTAGCACTGCCTTAATATACATTTAGACTAATTACATTGTTAAATAAAAAAAATTTATTTTTTAAACAAAGGAAATTGTTTTCCGTAGTTTTTTGGGCAATGAATATTCTATTTACCAAATTCCTCTATGGTGTCACAATTTTGGAAGATTTGCGATTAAAATTTTAAAAAAGAACAACTTTGTGTGTGTGTATACCGATTTTATTACAACTATGATATGTCGCGTATTGAAGAGGCTTCATTGCAATCAAAATTAAATATGTTGTTAGGATTTCTTTCAATTTTTAAAAGAAATTCGTCGATTACAGTTAAAACAATATTTATGATTAACCATTCGATACTACTGTAGGTATGGCATATCCGACTTTCTTTTTTAATGTTTCTTTTATTGCTTATAACTTAATAAAGATACATACATTTTTTGGAATCGTCAAGTTTTTTTAATATCTGACGTTAATTCAACAACAAAAAAATGTTTACAATAAGTTTACTTTTATGAAAATTATATAGATATTTGAGCATGGGCATCCAGAAGAGAGGGCAAGAGGGAGCATTTTTCCTCACATTGAGACCTCTTCTCAGGTTCGAACCCTGGCTGAGGTAATATTTTTCGCAATAAGTTCTTTACAGTTTTTTAAATTTAATTTAGGGAGAATTATTAACGTTTCAGACTGATTGTATTGAAAGTCCTAAAGTTATCGGTGCACAATCATATCTGAAATAAATTGATTTAATAAAGAATAGGTATATATTGTATTATTCGAAACATCTTAACTTTGACCGCTAATGGCGTTCTCTATCGTATTTGATGTATTCATGTACGGTCGTTCTCTCTACGAATCATAATATTGTTCATTATAAATTAAATTGACAAACGATTTAATTTGTGCTCAATCAGGCATCCTATTAGAGAGATGTTAATGTGCTGAAAATCTGTAAATAAATTTATTGCAAAAAATATTACCTCAGCCGGGAGTCGAACCCGGATCTCTAGTATTTCGGCTTAGTCTAAAGACTCTAAAAGGCTTAGAACACTCGCATGGAACGCTAGAGATCCGGATTCGACTCCCGGCCGAGATAATGTTTTTTGCAATAAATTAATTTTTCGCAATAGGATGCCTGATTAAATATCAAATTATTAAATTGCTCGTCAACTTAATTTGTGATATTATTACAGTAATTCAGTTGCATTTTTAAGTTCGAAAAGCCAATTCGGCACACAGTTCAAATATTACATACGTAGTACATAAATTCACACACAAATTATTTAAGCATTTAAAATCCAGCTTCAACCATTATAGGCTTTAACTCTTACTTGTTTTTTATAATCGTACTTAATATTTTTGTTATGAACACAATAATGAGATAAATCAATTAGTGTAAAGAAAACACATAATTGCTTTAGAAAAAATATATATGCAAAATGGATAATATTTTAAATAAGCAACTGTGTGTTTTCTTTACATAAGTTGATTCATCTCATTATCCTATACATAAAAGTATTAAGATATTAAAAAATGAAAAGTTTACGAGGTATTTTACATTCATGTCAAAATGTGTCCAATGTTTCAAAGAGTATATCTCGGAATGAACTTAGAGAATGAACTTAGGGAATGAATTTAGAGAGAATTGTATTGTATTATGAAACATTTTGATCCTAACAATATTTTATTTTAATTAAATTTCGAAGTTACTAAATGTAAGAGAACCACATAAAAATGAGCAGTCTTTCTTAAAATTGTAATTTGGTTAGAGGAACTTAATAAACAAAGTTATATTCAACTTAAAAAAATATGAGAAATAATTACTTTTGTTTTTGTATTTTTTTTTTTGTTAAACAGTGTTATTTACATATCTGCGAATTAATTCGTGCATGCTTTTATGTTTTTATGTATACATACACGCATACAAATTTGTGTAAAAGTTAAAAGTATTTATAAATAGAAAGAAATAGATTATATATAGTTTTGATGTTATCTCGATTTTATATACCTCATTACCTATACTGTTTCTATTAGGATATCGCTATAATACGAAATTACCTCAATCTGTAATCCAAAGGATTGGCGGTATATGATAGTGGATTCAGAAGTTCGCCCAAATCATGATTTCCCGTGCAGTACAATTTTAAAAGTTGAAAGCAGAGATCATGTATCCGTTTGCCGTTATTTAACTCGGCATCGTAATCGTCCTCTCTATACTCAGGTTCAGGAATTGCCGCGTAAGCTTGAGCTTCCGTTGTATTGAAAGATGCTTCATAGAGATCTAAGGCATCAGTGATCGAGGATGTTGGCGGTGACAAATACCATAGATGAATGGCAAATGCCCGCTTCCAGTCCAGATCCTCGCATACATTAACAGTGCCGTGTTTGCTGGAAATAAGCGGTTCGCCCGCAACCAACATGAATAGCTTTAGACGATCAATTGTGAGATTTTCGTCTACATCGGTTTCCTGCCATAACGCGAGTTGTTGCTTAATCAATTTCTTGACTGTCGCACCACTTCGTAATTGCGCCATCAGTAATGCCAAACAGTGATCTCCGGCTTTCCGTGCTTCTTGACAAGCATCTTCCAGTTTGCAAGCAGAAAGCAGCGATAATATTATTTTCTCATGAGAATTCTTAGTTACAATGTCGATGTTTTTGATCTCTCGTTCGATCGTTTTTTGGACCACATTCCTTAACCACTCGCCTACGGCTTCTCTTCTCACTATAACGTTATAGTGTTCCTCATTGGCGTTATTAGCTGTGTCTTGATCGATGTAATTTCCCCAGAGTGCTACGCATAAAGTCCACACGATACTCGCATACTGACGATATGATCTTTCGGTAGCACTGCCACACTGCATCTGTTCATCATTGGCATCATCGCTTGGTCTTTGTTCTTTTTCAGCAAGATCCTGCGCTAGCGTGCAATGTAATCGCAACGCTTCGTTCGCACTGTCAGTCGTTACGTTAAACGTGGGACAGTCTCCCTCATGACCCATCACACAGTGATCCAGTTGGATTCTCAAGTGACATTCTATACTATCTTTAAACATCTTCGTGTCATACTCGTCACCACCTACGATTTGTAAACGTTGAACAATTACAGTCGATGAGACATCGTCTGACAGACGACCAGAGATGTAATGGCTTAATTGACTAAATGTGTTCCTTAATTGCATCTTGATTGCCTGCTCCTGTGTGCTCAGAGATAACAATGTCAGACCGGCACCCCAACTCGGTCGAAACGTCCTGCCCATGTATATACCGGTGTCGGCAATACAACGAAATCGCAACTTATTCAACCTGGACTCTTCAAGTGGAACAACCTCGTAGTGATACTTCAACACGTTTGTCACTGGTGTAATCATAGGTGGTGGAATAGCTTTTTCAATAAACTGTTTGTCTTTGACACCGATACAAGGTAAATGTGATTTTCTACTCGATGTGTAAAGTACGTTTTCTGGACACGCAGATAGTGCTTTGTTTGCGATAAGAGTTACTCGTAAAGTCGTAGCGTTGTATGGAACTTCGTCGTTCTTGGTTTCTGTAACATCTGGGAAATAACTTGTCAAGGTTTTCTGTACGGAAGAGAATATACCATTGCTTGTTTCATCGTTTATATCTTCATCGTTTACATCGAAAAAGCTTGCTTTCATAAGCTGCAATTTATGACTATCTGTACCGGCTACACGAGCGTTATCACCGATCGGACTAATGGTCATTTGTTTTTCGTAATTATAATCTCTAGGAACAAAGTCAGAACGGCCAAATGGGATTTCCTCGACTGGACTGACGATCATTCCTCGTTCCTCATAATTGTGATCACTATAGGCAAAATGGTTAATTGGAACCTTTCCTAAAAAATTGCTCTCAATCATACTCAGATGCTTGCTGTTTCCGATCTTCGTACCGTCAAGCGTTCCGTTGATCGCTCCATTGATCGCTTCCTTATTGATCACCATCGATGGATCAACAAGCTTGTCCTTTTGTATGGCCGTGGAGAATCCCTTCAATTTCTTTGCTTCTGAAGTTGACGGGATCTGACTATCATCCTCATCTGAATCACTGAGACCATACTTGGAAAAGTGGTCGACCTTGAATACCCATGAACCAGTCTCCGGTCGATACTCGAGGAAACGAGTATCATGCTTCGCGGATACTCTACGTAATTTTCCTTCGTAGTTTATCGCGGCGAGTCGCTGTGGATCCATAATCGGCTCATGCAGCGACTTATCATGCGGCCATACCTTATCTAAAGTGACCTGTGCCTTTCGATTCAGGCCTTGTCCCACTGGTGGCTTCTTCTCATCGTCGGGATAAATAATCACCTCTTTATGACGAAAATGTACTGTAATGGCAATGGTATTCCAGTCACACATAATATGTAAATATAATTCTTCTTCCAAAGATGTTTATATACATAGTATATCATAGTATATAAACATAGTATAGTCGTGGTAGAATATTTAATTATAATGAAATTGAAAAATAAACGCAATATATTACAAAATATTTATAAAAAGTTAATATATTAATATATTAATTAAT